ACAAGTAGACGATCATTTCTACCTATGTCTATGTGATGTGTTTTGTCCCATTAGATAGGATGCTCCCTGAGTTCAGGGGCATATCTGTTTCACCCACTGCCCCAACAAACCCCTGTGCCCAACTAAACCAGGCACACAGGAGGTTCTAAATAGTTTAGGTAGAAAATGAGATGAGGACAGCTTGGAGGGGTAGGAAGTGGGGCCTAGGCCCTGTGACCATTTGCCTTGTACATGCTAGAGAAGGGCTCTTCCTCTAAGCTGCACCCCGTACCTGGCCCTCCTTTAGTATCTGCCATCCCTGTCTGGTTGGCCTTTATGAAGCATCTCCTATGAACCTGGTGTACCTAGCATGTCCTAGTATATGACTGTGGCAAGTTCCAAAACTTTAAGAGCTAGCCTCAAGGGAAGGAGAGGTGGTCAGGAAGACCATCCAGAGGTGGCATCTTCTCATATCTCAAAGCATTAGGGAAAGTTTGCCCAACAAAGGGTAAGGAGCTTTAGAGAAAAGACCAAAGCAGATGGCAGAGGTGGGTATGTGGGTGTGTGTTGGAAGGCAGTGTCCTAATGGGCTTTCCAGATACTAGGCTGAGAGAGGAGATATGGCCTTGGACTCTGTAAAGTCAAAGAGAGAGAATCAAGACCATCAAATCTGCTGCTGAGCCCATTAGATCTGCTTCAGAGAGATAACAGCCCAAACTCAGTGAGGAAGTCACACACACACACACACACACACTGAAACATCCCAGCTCCACCTGTGAGGCAAGTGTTAGCCAGCACAGTAGCCACCACCTCTCCCGGAGCTCTGGAGGCCTGACATCCAAACTCTCATCATCACAAGTGGACACTACAACCACACTGTGCCCAAGGACTCCGGGTGGGATAGACAGAAGGCCTGCTATGAAGGCATTCAGTGGGAGCACCATACCTCCCTTCTGTGAGAGGTTCAAAGAGCAGGTGGCTACTAGGAAGAGCAGTCACAGGAAAGGCCCGGACTGAGGGACTACAGTCAGTGGATGGTACAACCAGGACCCAATGGGAAAGTCAGCAATGACAGCTGACTACAAATAGCACAGGAATTCCCTGAGCAATGTCATGGTGAGTAATCAACTCACTAAGAGCAAGAAACTCTGTGCCACCTTAGAAAAGGTGTCCCTCAGCCTGAGAAGCAGCAACTGTGAAAGCCGAGCTCCTGTGTTACCACAAGTGCTGACCTAGGGCCTTTCTCTAGGGGGATCACAGCATCATCAGAATGTGCAGGGGGCACCCAGGATACCCAAAGAAAACAAAGATAACAGGGCAAGAAGTACACTAGTGGGGCTGGAAATGTGTTTTAGTGGTAGAGTGCTTGCCTAGCATGCATGAAGCCCTGGGTTCCATTCCTCAGCACCTTATAAACAGAAAAAGCCAGAAGTGGTGCTGTGGTTCAAGTGGTAGAGTGCTATCCTTGAGCACAGAGAGGCCCAGGGACACTACCCGGGCCCTGAGTTCAAGCTCCAGGACTGGGAAGAAGAAGGAGAAGGAAAAGAGGAGGAGGAGGGGAGGGGAGGAGGAGGAAGAGGAGCAGGAGGAGGAAGAGGAAGAAAGAAGAAGATAAACAGGAGGAGGAGGAGGAAAGACAAAACTATCTGAAGAGCTAAAAGCCAGATGTACAAAGTATGCTATTTTCTATGGATGTATGTGATCACTATGCTAACTGCCACCCTCACATCACCAATTTGCCCAGCAAATCAAAAGCTGGATCCTCGGTAGGAAGACCTTCGGGTCTGAGGGAGTGAATGTGACTTCCGTGCCTGACTATGATATCATCAGTGGTGACCAGGATGTCAGAAAGTCCACAGCCCGTGGCCATTGTTTTCCCTTTTCACAGATGACACACATAAGCCTTTCAGGGGTCCAAAGTGGTAGACCTGTACAGAGTGAGAGTTGCCACGCATCTGAAGGAATCACAGTAGTTCACTGTGGAATAAATGCTCCATAGCACATGCTTGGTAGGAGAGAAACAAGTTTTACCCTTCTTCTCTACTTACAAGCTGCAGAGCAGACTTGCACAAGTTTCTTAAGCTCTTTGTGCCTGTTTCCTCAGTTACAAAATAAGGATGCATATGACGTTAGAGAAACAGAAAGTAGAATGGTCATCACCAGGGATTATAGGAAAGCAAAACAGCAGTGAAGTATCACTGCTGCCTGATTTTTTTTAAAAAAGTGTGAGCACACTTAAGACTACTGAACGTACACATGAAAATGGCAAAGATGGCAAGGTACCAGTGGGTCACGCCTGTAATCCTGGCTACTCAGGAAGTTGAGATCTGAGGATTACAGTTCAGAGTCAGCCCAGGCAGAAATGTCCATGAGCCACTTATCTCCAATAAACCAGCAAAAAGCCAGAAATGAAGCTGTGGCTCAACTGGTAGAGCGCTAGCCTTGAGCAGAAAAGTTCAGGAACACTTAGGCCCTGAGATCAAGCACTAGGACCAGCAAAAAAAAAAAAAAAAAAGGCGAAGATGGTAAATTTGCGTTATGTGTCTCTTTAACCAAAGTTAAAGAGAAACATACAATGGGATGTGGTATTAATAAATGCTTTAAAAATTCTAGCTGTTGTTGTTTTATTGTCTTGGTTTTCAAGGTATTTAATCATGAACATATTATTACTTAAAGGTACTTTAAACAAAATGGTAGTCTGAGTCTTCCAGCTGATGGAAGTTGCTTGCTTGTTTTAAGATGGGATGCCAAGTCTTCATGAAAGAATAGGGCAGTGAAACCAAAACCTTCCTAAATCATCCATTAGAGAACACTGATACTCTCCCCAAAATCAAAGTAGCATTTTGACAAACTATTATTCCAAATCCTGAGCCTTTTAGATTTCCCATGGAAACCCATATATTTGAAAGTAAAGCCAAGAAAAGTCAAGATTATACATTGATGTGTGAAGGCATAAGGATATCTTATGAGGCAGACTAATGCTTAACATGAAAATCCACAATTTGCAGAGATAATTGAAATATAAAACAAAAAACAATACGGTTGTGTTCTCCACTATGCAAGAAATATACAAGAAATCAAACAAAGAAGTCATTAAGAGAGCCTGTCACCATAGAAGGGAGAATGATCTCCCTGTCTCGAAAAGCTACAGGAAGTATTTTCCATCTTGGCCCTGCATGTCAAAACACAAAGCAGTTTTGGGCAACAGGCCTAGACCCAAAGGCATCATTTTGATTCTCAGCGCTTAATTTTGATTTCTTGTGCATCTATGCTAATTTAGTCTCTCCAGCCTATTATTGAAGCCCTGGAAGGACAGATGTGCAGTTTTACAGGGCCGTAATCCACTTGGCGGGCGGATAACCCAGAGGCCTTTGGTCTTCCTCGTGTACTCCAATAACAAAACTAGACGACTGCCTTATAAAACAGCAGGGGACCCACGCCCTGATTTCCACGGGCACTATCCTAGGAGACCTCCTCAAAACCAAATTCATAAAAGTCGTCATGATCAGAGAGATGACCCGGATTAGCTCTGGGTGAAATAAAATCAGGCCATTCTAAGGGTTTAAATAGTAAAAGGTGACCTACAGTATAGACTTTGTGCCACACAGGTATCATTCACAGGCTGAGAAGAGCAGGTATTACTGGAGAAGAATCTAATGCTATTAGTCTTTTAGATCGCTCTTGAATAAAAGATAAATTTTGAAGATGTGGCTAAGAATTGCCTACAACTTATTTATGCTCTAACCTCCCCTTTATCTGTATATAATCCTAAGTGATTGGCTCTTGCTTACCAGTCCTGGAAGCCCTCAGCATTGATTGTGTACAGGCAGGACCCTGTGAGATCAGGAAATGGGCGGCACTATATGTAGCTATATACAAATGAACCATAATCAGCAAGGATCAGGATTGTTCCAACCCACCTCCAGGTCTCCAAGAACCACCTGGCCCCCCACTCACAGCCACATCCTTGCCAACAGGTAGAAGGATGGAGAGTTGAGATGAAGGGCTGCGATTGTAAGCCTGGAAAAGAAGTCATTAAAAGAGCATGGGTTCTAGGCATGCTGTCTCGTTCATTTAATTCTCCCCTTTCTGATACACTAAAGAAACCTCATCTTCCTGCAGGAATCTATGCTGAAAACTGTGTACAGAGCTCTAAGGTTTCCTAGTCACATAATGTTGGAAGATCTCTTAACCACTCTGGGTCTCAGTTTCCTGATACAGGACAGAGCCTAGGTACTATGGCACACACTGAGCATTTGTGGAAATTTTTAAATTAAAAAAAAAAAAGAACCTGCAGAAAGGGAAGCTCAGGAATATCACAGAGATGCCTCCCATTCCTACCACTCAACAGATGTGTGACTTCTCATTTATTATTATTATTTATGTCAGACACAAGTTTGGTCACCCCGCTCACTGTACACTTGACACAAGAGCCCTAACTCCTTTTACCTCAGTACATTCCTACCTCCTATCTCCTCATCACCCTATAACAATACCCACGGACCTGATCATGCAATCTTTCAAACAATAATCAGTTGCCAGAGCATACTACGTACTTTAGAGTCCTACTCAGTATTTCCAAAATTATGTAAGGAAGTATTTCACTTTTTTTCTGTGTGTGTTGTTTTTTGTTTTGTTTTTGTTTTTGTTTTTTCTGCTTGATTTCAAGAGTTAAAAAGAATAGTTGTGGCTGGGAAGGTGGCTCAGTGGTAGAGTGCTTGCCTTGCATGCATGAGGCCCTGGGTTCGATTCCTCAGCACCACGTATGCAGGGAAAAAAAGCCGGAAGTGGTGCTGTGGCTCGCATCTGATGGATTTTCCTTCTCCATGAAAATACTGAAGAGAAGGAGGGGGGAAGAAATCTTTCCCTTGCAATTTACTTTGGCTTTCTCATAAGTTGGACAGGAAAGTCAGCCTAATTCAGGTGGAATCTAAAATGTTCTTGCTGTACAAGTGGGCAGAGAAAGGAAGCCTATAATTTCCGAGCGTTCTTTCAGGAAGTTTGTATTCTCTGTTTTCCAGGGAGCTTTTACTTTCCGAGGGAGTATGATCGACATGCCATTACTGAAGCAGGCCCAGAACATTGTTACGCTTGCCACATCCATCAGGGAAAAATGATCTGTTAAATGAAGCTCTCATCAGGTGGGCCGAACATATACAGTGTGTTTCTTAAAGACAAACTGTAATACTCAAGGCAACTTGTTAGCATGCCAGATTGGGCCTCCCTCCATTTACAGTTCATGGTAATCACGGAGCGTTGTTGTTATTGTCTTACTGGCCAATTATTCCTCTAAAAATGAACTTTCTTACTTTGGGGGTCCAAGCTCATGATTTTATTGTTATTTATTAATATGTTACAAATAGAGATTTATAATTTCATGGGGAATGTAGAAATCCTTGGGAAATAGAAATCCTAGACGGGCAATGAGAAGAAATTAAACCTTCAGGAAAACAGATCTTCCCCAATACACAAACTGCCTCCATCCTCCTTGGGTTATATTTCACTAGTAATCTGATCGAAACAAGAGTGATGGCGTTGAAAACATTATGAAGTGTTATATTGACTTGATACCTTCACAAATAAAACCTTCAAAACTGTTTTCTACGAACCTCCATCCCACAGATAGTACCTCCATACCCTCCCACCGCAGGGTCGTGAACTGGAAGCCCTCCTCTTGGAAGAATAATCAACAGTCACCAGCAATTAAAAATAATAATAAATGTGCACAAACACAAGACCATCCACTCTCCCCTTTCTTTTCCCGTTGAACTGTTAGCCATTGAAGTCATCGCCCCCTCTCCCCACCCCCGTAAACGTATGGCCAGGACAGGACTCCTTCAGCCATAAACTTGTAGCGTCTAGGAAGACACAAAGCCACGAGCCTGGTGCATGCGGGCCCCCTCGAGATTTGCATCACATTAGAGGTGCTGCTCCAGGTCATATGGGTGGTGTGGTTAACGGGCTTAGTAAAGCTGTTTTGAAGAGGTTAACCCAGCTTGTAGTAAGGGTAAATAAACATAACAACCAGCCATTGTTCCCTATTCAGCATGTACTCTTATATTGAAAGCTAAAGGGTATTGAAGCCGCAAGGATCAACTTGTGCGTGCCAGAGGACGCCAATGAAGTTTGAAACACCAACAATCAGAGATTTTGTTTCTGTTCCTCATTAAATCATGAGCTTTTGTGTGGAGACTCTGGACGACTGTTCTTTAAGAAATTAACAGAATGGGAAGTTTAAAACTCTACACCAACCTTTTCATGACCTACACAGCAGCCAGACTGCTGCTCTTAGACAGACACCGCAGGGAAGGCTGTTCTGTTTATTGAAATTTGTAAATAGAAAACAGTTGTTTTTCTGTTTCATTTTTCACTTCCCCCTACACCCATTTGGTTTCTTCCCTTTCTGGTCCCTGGCGTGTGCCCCGACTAGGGGTCTACTTTTGCCTCATTTCCCTCGGATCCTATAGAAGCCAGAGAAGTGAGTAGAGGTGAAGGTTGGTTGATTACAAGCGCCAGTCACCGCAGTGCTAATATTAGCACCAGCTAATATTCCCGAACTGGAGACCCTAAGAGACCCTCTTCCAATGACATGGGGGCTTGCCTGCCTTGGGCCATGGTATCCCCTCTCCTACAGAGTCGTCCCAGTCCTTTTATTAGGTACGGCCCTATCATTCTTCTTCACCTGAGGTGCCCTGGCCTATGCCAGTTCCTGGAAAGGCAGATGGAAGCCACCCGTCCTCACTCCTGGGTTGAGAAGAGGAACTGAACGTGGCGTCCTGACCCCTTCAGGAGGCTTCTGGCCTGGCCAGGCTGCGCTTCAGGCCTGAGGGCGGGGCCGCAGGAGAAGCACCCAGCAAGTCTTATAGCCACAGCTGAGAGTCAAGAAGTCAGGTATGTGCCCCGTAAGCTGGACCATACATGCATAGGCCCGTCTGCACTCAGAGCACACACAGGAGAAGATAGGGGTGACATGATGCCCCTACCTCTCAAGTACACACCCCCAGGTGTCAGTAATGATTCACATCTGCTGTGAGAGAAGCAGAGGATTCAAGTGATAGTTTCCACCCTAGGGTGCAGGCAGCTCCTAACCAAACTAGCAACTCACAGGGAGCTAGAAGCCTCCCTCTGAGAGGGCTTTACCTGGGCATGAGCAGCCCTGCGCAGAGCTAGGCAGGCCTCCGGCTCCAACAGCATTAAGCCCCAGGTTGCTACTGGCCCTGTCCCAAGCTACATTCGCTCACACAAAACAACCTTGTTGTTAAGTCTCTTGGAATATCAGCTTGACCTGATAACCTTGTGGTTCCATTTATAATAGGATCGTGAGACTGGGACCCACAAGAACTAAAAATCTGGAGCAAGGCCCCACACTCTGTGCAAGCCCTAACAGGGTTCAGTCATGGCCAGAGCCCCGTTTGTCCTGATGGCCAGCGCTCTGGGGCAAGGAGATGGTGGGCACTCACTGTCTCTCTGGCACCATGTGTGGAGAAGGTGGGGGCCCCCCAAAAAACGAGGGAAGGGATTGGACCCTGCCCACTGTTCGCACAAGATGGGAAATGAAGTCTGCAGAATTCCTCCAAGCTGGGCGCCACACAGGAAGAGGAGCAGGCAGCCAATCGAATTCATTAAAAGCCATACCTGTTTATATTTTGTGTAGCTCAGAGCAGCCGCTTCACCATATCATCCCCCTGTTATTAATTCTTGGGGGCTAAATTATGGGTAACACTATTAAAACATTATCAGAACTAATGAGAAACAATTACTTAGAAAATGAGCCAGGACAAGATTGAGTTGAGAACATCAGTGGTGATCACTGTAGATTAGTTTAATAAATCATCAGGTTCAAGGCAAGACTGACTGTATGCATGCACAGCCTCGTCACGGGAAAATGAAATTGAGATTTTTTTGCATAATTTTTTCATTAATCTCAATAGGACCCGTGTGGTGTAGATTGCTTTATTCCCCTAATACCTTGCCTGAGGGAGGGGGGGTACCCAATAATGTCTTCATTGTTTTACTGAGGTCTTAATGACAATCTGTGACAAGCTCATTTTAATGTATAGAGAAGTATATCAATAGCCATGTGTTACTGGAAGGGTGAAGAGATCTCCCCATCTGAGCAGGGGGGGGGGAATCTGCAAGCACCAGTGAGGAACTGTGTACATCCGGGGGCTTTTGCTTCAGATCCCCAAGTTTCTAATGCCCCTCCCCCCCATCCCCTCCAGGGCTGGTGAAAGTCTGCCCCAGAAGGAAGATGTCAACGATTTGAGTTTGGAAGCCACTGTGGTGTTCTGCTGGTCCCAGAACTAAGTGTGTGTTCACCCTGCTAGGACAAGATGCCGCTCTTTTGAGCCAGCAACGCCTTGCAATCCCTAGTTTCCTGGGAGTTGGGAGACTTCCTTTGAGGGGGGGCTTGGCCTTCTACTTGGGAGGATGCTCTCTCTTTCACAGCTGCCCCCCCACCTTCCTTTACTTAAGTGTTCCTTCCTTAAAAAGCGATCGAGGGTACGCAACAAGCCCTAAAACTTCTAAGTGGGCCTAGGCATGTGGGTGCAGGTGGGGTTCCGTACCCAGGCCGCGGGGACCCGGCGGCCGGCACCAGGGCGTGGCGCGTGGCCCCCGCCCCGTCCTCGGGCAATGCGGGGAGTGCGCAGTGACCTGTCCTCCACCGGGAAGCGGGGACGCGTTCCTTGGGGAGGGGGGGGAATGATAGCTTAGACAGCTCCCCAAATGGAGACGTCCGTTACCGTCAGATCCCCAACTTGGCACCCGTGGGCGGCGAGGGGAGGCGGCCCGGGAGGGTCCGGCAGGCGGCGGGGTTCGTGGCTTGGTGGAACCCGGCGCCTGTTCGGCCGCGCGCGCGCGCGCGGGGGTCGGCGTCCGCCAAGTCCCCGCGCCACGTCCCCGGGAGCGGCGGGACTCTGCTCTCTCGCTCCTTCCGAAGGGACGGGAAGGGAAGGGCACGGCGGGCCCGGAACCCAAGCGCTGCCTGGAAAGGACACCCCAAATTTGGGCCCCCCACCCCGTCCTCGCGCTTGCCACACGGGCGGCGGCTGGAGCGCAGACCCCGAGACCAAGAGCCCGGCCCCGGGCCT